CCCCAAAACCCCAAAACCCCAAAACCCCGTTATTTAAATTTCATCAATTTTAGGTGAATTAAAAATTAACAAAATTACTTATATTTTTTTAATAATAATAATAATTTTTACAGTATGATATTCTAGGTTGCACTACTTATTTTCATACTCTATATTCTCTATGATAGAGTTTTCCTTATGTATTACAACTATTGGTATTTCAAAAAGCAAGGATTTTAGCCTACAGGATTTCCTTTTCCATTTATTGGAGACTTGTTGAAATTTCTCAAGGTGTTAAAACATAAAGATGAGTATTGGGATGACCCTTAATTCGAATATTTTCAAGATGTATTTAAAAAAGATATTCCACCATTTGTAATCGATTTCAGATATCCAAGAGGAATACTTGTAATATCAGATCCTGACTTCGTATTTGAATCTTATACTACAAAGAATAAGTATTTCGATAGATTCCCAAGATGCCTATAACTTGTATAAGTCGTTTATTGGGGAATCTATTCTATTCACTCCATCTGATGAGAAATAAGCTCTTAAAAGAAAGCATTTGTCATCAGCCTTCTACAAGGACAAAATGCAACTGCAACTTAATTCCATCATTAGTACTACATTTGATATAGTTCAGGAGACTATTTAATAAATCGAACAAGGCTAGGACTAACTTGATTTGAACGAGTATATAGGGAAACTTGTGCTCAGAGCAGTCTAGATTTGTATTTTTGGAGTAAATGAGAAATTAGAAACACTTCCGTATAGAGAAAATGGTATAATTCAACAGTTAACTCTTGGAGTTTTTATGAATAGACTTAGTGTTGATAACATTAAAAGAGTTGCCAGCATCTTCAGAATGAATTTCGAATTTCTAGACAACTATTATGTTGGAAAAGTTGAAAAAGAGGTTGAATCAAATAATAACACAATGAGAAGATTCATTATTGATATGATTTCTCAGAGGAAAAAGAAAAATGAGAATTTAAGGCCGGAGGAAATACATCATGACTTCCTAAATTTACTACTTTAAGACGAAATCTTTAAAGACAATGACAGTCTAATTGCAGATGAATGCATTACATTTATGTTAGCTTCGACATAATCCATCACTTCTGCCTTGTCTAATCTGATATTTTACGTAACCAGAGACTAGTAAATATGTACTAAGGTTAGAAATGAGATCAGTGAAATTATTGGTAAGAATATCAAGATGAGCAAAATAACTAAAGAGATGTGGACTCAAAAGCTCAGTCTTGATGAAATTTAACACTAATGGAGCTATTTATACATGGTTATTTAAGAAAATTTAAGAATAGAGCCTCCAATTAGAAAGAGTATTACTCAAACAGTGTCTTAAGATATTGAAATTAGAGGGAAGAAAATACCCAAAGGAGTCCCCATTCTCTTTCATTTCTTAATAATTCAGAGAGATGCAAATGAGTGGCCCGATCCTCTAAAATTCATTCCTGAGAGATTTGATCCCGCTTCAAAGTATTTTTTGACAGCAGAAGGCAAAAAGAGAAAACCAGCAAGCTTCACTCCTTATCTTGGTGGAAGAAGAATATGCTTAGGCAAAACATTCGCTGAAAATATTATCAAATGTGTAGCACCTTTAATTATTTCTAGACTTGATTTTGAGTTATTAAAAACTGAATACAGAGATAGGAAACCACCTAATGGTACTTTTGCCGAGCCAACATACCCTATGAAAATAAGTATTTACTAATGATAAAAGTTTAAACAGCTTATTATTGGGATATATTAAAGAGAAAATGATGCCTTTTTTCAAAATATTTCTTGATTATTAGTTGAGACTCAATAATTTATTCATAAAACTTAATTCAACTAACTAATTTTAGATTTAAAATCCATAAAAAATACATTATTTTAATCATGAGGGGTTTTGGGGTTTTGGGGTTTTGGGG